AAACTATCCAGTCGATCAGTGCCGGTTCAACTTTGTGTCTACCGAGTGCACCTTTTATGCTGGAGAAGTTCGTTCGGTCAAAAGCACCTTCTATATCTATGAAGGAACCTAGACATATTTCTTTGTTTTGGATGGCCTCTTCAATCTTTGTAATTACCTTATGAAGGGCCGATTCTGTTGATTTGCCTAGACTGTAGGCGTGTTGCTTGTCGTGTAGTGGTAAGTTCATTAGCGCCGACCCCCTTAATTCCCTTTCACACATCCTCTCCATCGTCTTTAGGAGAAAGGATGTGAGGCTAATGGGCCTGTAGGATTTAGGGTCAGTGTAGTCGCTCTTACCTGGTTTGGGTATGAATGTAACTTTCACTTCCCTCCATCCCCTAGGAACATATTTAAGAGCAAGACAGGCTCGCATTATGGCAGCAAGTCTGACTATTAGGGCTTTATCCCCCCACTGTAGGAGTGCCGGGAATATGCCGTCGGGTCCTGCCGCCTTATAGGGGAGGAAACTGTGAATGGCCCAATGGATTTTGTCCATCGTTACCACTCTCTGTGCTAAATTCCAGTCTTCTGCTGTTGATGTCAGTATGTCGTCATGCCGGTTTGCCTCCTGGGTTACGCAGCAACCTGGGAAGTGCGTTTCAATTAGGATGCGTTGGGCTTCATCCGGCGATGTTGAGTAGCTACCGTCGGGTTTCTTTAGAGACATGGATCCCGACGTGTTCTGTTTAGCTAGAATATTCCTAATCCTATTTGCTTGTTTGCAGGTTTCTATGTTGCCACAGAATTTACGCCACCCAATCGAGCGTCGATACCTGATACATTTTTTGTATTCAGACTTAGCTTTCTTATATAATAGCCAGTCTTCATCCATTGAGGTATTCATGGCCCTATTTAGAGCTTTTCTTACCTTCTTACGTTTTCTATCGAGTTCTTTACCCCACCACGGTTGTTTTACCTCGGCATGTCTTGGTGGAGTGATTTCTGGACATGATTCATGGTAGCTGTCTATCATGGCCTTAGTAACAGCTGCTACCTGTTCTTCTAGGAGCGACTGATCTGCTATAGTATTTATCCCCTCAAAATCCGCTAGCAAAGACGTCAGCCTATTTAGGTATTTTGTTTTATCTGTCTTGCGGGGATTTCTCCATGGTGATGTAGAGGGGATATCGACCTGTAGTGCGAAGCAGATCCATCTATGGTCTGAGCATGAGGCCTCTCTCGACACATGCCATCCCGTAATTAGTTTGGCTGCTCCTTCTGTTGCAAGTGTGAGGTCGATTATAGTGCGACAGCGTTTGTTTATGAAAGTAGGTTCAGAACCTATGTTTAAAATGGTTAGGTTAGTACTAAATAAATATTCAACTAAAACTTTACCTCGTTCATTTGGTTTTTCCATTCCCCAAAGGGGATGATGTGCGTTGGAGTCCGTCCCGATCACAACCTCTAGTCCGGTCCTCTCGCAGAAGTTCACCAGCCTGCTGAGGTCATGAGGGGGAGGAGTGTCTTCCTCCGGCATGTAGACCGAGGCGACGACTAATCTACTCTCCTGTGTGTACTGTATTGCTACAGCATACATGTCTCTAGAACAGAAATCTGTTAAAGGTTGTGCACAGATATCTTTAGTAGTGTAAATACACGCTCTAGGCTTGTCGTGTTCAGAGCTGTAGAATAACTTACCTTTTAGGTTGTTTAGGCCTTTAATTTTACCAGCCCCAACCCATGGCTCCTAGATTAAGGCTATGGCAGTCCTTTGAACCTCCAACCACTTGCGTAATTGAGCCGACGCAGTTTCGCTGTGGTGGAGGTTGGCCTGCACTAGGCTAGTTTTGGACGAAGGGCACGCCATCATTGATCGCGTCCTCCCCGTCCCCGCCCAAAAATAGGCCTGCCAGAAGATCTCGGGTTTCATCGTCAGCCACCGAGTCGGAGGTGGTCGGCAAAATGCAGTCCTCCTCGTCACTCAGTGAGCTGCCGCTGAGCCCAATCTCCACTGGGGGCTTCGGCTCAATTGTGCAGGCCGTTTCTTCACTGGACTTGGCCTCCAGTGATTCCGCTGTACCGGTAACTATGGCTCCGGTATTCATAACTTCCGGGTTGTTTTCTACTTCTTTGCTCGGTGGAGTATCAAAGAATTTGCCTCCACGACCCTGGAATTTTACGTATACCGCCCCGCATACACATGCGAGACGGCGTCCGGCCTTCATCAGGGTCGGGATATGATCCTCCGGCACCGAAACAACGAGGAACCACCCGTCCGTCTGCTTATCTGCCTTGAGTAACAGCCAGTCCCTGATGTTAACCCAGCGGTTCTGGTACGCCAACACGCGACCAATGTCGCGTGAGTCTTTCCAGGCCCCCTGGGCATCAGGGATAAGGATACCACATTTGACTCTTTGTGGTATCTCTGACTGTTTCTTTATTGTCAGCAAGGTGCTGGATTTAAGGTCGAGGGTAGCAATGTTCCCCTTCAACCAGTCCAGAGCCTTCTGATCGTCGCACCACAGTTTCAGGACACCTTCCGTATAAACGGGTTTGCCCCTAAAAACTGGGCCCGACGCATCAGGGTCCTGGCTACTCCAGGCCTCGCTGATCATCTTCCTCTGTATTGCTACGAGGATGTCGTCTGCTACTTTCTTCGTAATGTGACCTGAACGCGCACACGTTAAGGCCACACCCAAATCTGCTTTAGCAGCGGAAGCGTAGCTCGTTCTTGCAGTCTTTGGTTGCTGTTCGAGTCGCATTTTTTTGTTTTCACCTCTAGGCGAGGTGGACTCTTCCAGCATCCTTTTGGCTGCTCTTTCCTTCTTCCCAGGACGCTTGGCCGCTCGCTGCTTCCTGGCGGATATCCTAGAGCTGGTTCCCGCGTCCGCGACTTCCACTTGGGCTGGATTTTTATCCTTCCCAGCTTCAGCGCGGCTACTGGTTCCAGCGCCAAGCACCCCAGTCGCAGTAGCTTGCCCAGCCTCCTTGGTTTTGGTATCTGAAGCAGCCAATGCGGCTCGTTCTCTACGGCCTTTTTCCCGCTGCTTCTTGTTCTTCTTTTTGGCCTTTCCACTACTGCCTGCAGGGATAGACCCTCCTGATGGTCCGTCAGGTCGGCAAGTCACCTTTTTGGGTGCCATGCCTTTCCCCTTACGGCTCACCACTTGCCAGGCAGCAGAGAAAAGGTCGTCAGTCCGTAGTGGCTCCGCAGTTTTATCACTTGCGGGCTCTTGTTTCTTTTTCTCTTCCAGCTCCTTGGAACTGGTTTTGGAAACGTTCAGCGAGGTTATCCCTTTGGTGGGGGCACCTACGCTGGACGGTACTGTCCGTGGAACCGTCGGTTTAGTGACGGTTCCCTTTTGTTCTTTGGTGTCTCTGGTAAGCACCTCTGACACCTCTCCCTCTTTCTTATTGGGCCTTAAATTGTCCATAATTTGTGTTTTTTAAAATTCATCCCCCCGGCTTCCCACCCTCCATGGAGCCCGCACCTTTGGGAACGCCCTACTTTAGAAGCAAAAGGAATTTCAGGCGTTAGGATTACCGGGAGAATATAGGGACGCGAAGTTGGCTCACAGCGCGACATCGGGAGCTCGATCCAGCTGGTAGATGGGGCTGACAAGGCCCATCCCCACCACCCGAATAAACTGTCACTTGCTCCGTCAGCATGGCCTTTACCACCACCCAGCCCCCTTTTCAGGAAGACTAGGCAGCCCCCACATCCCTTGCCTGCTACCCTCTGACGGGGCGCTTGGCCATTTCCCTATCTGTGGCTAGCAGATAGGGCCACCGTTTAGCTTGAAATCCGGACCAAAGAGGGCGTGTTGCCTCTCGCCACTATATACCCCAGCGACGATCGGCTCAACCCTCCAGGACTCCTTCATCCCCGCGTACGGCGCTCGACTGCGCAGGTCCTAGCGCAGGTGGGTGTGTTAGTCCACCGGATACACCCACTCTCTCCGGCGGATTCGTCCCCTCCTCCTTTCTCATCCGGGCTTGGGACCGGCAACGGCGGAGTTAATTCTTTAAGGTTATTATTATTCTTTAACTTTGGCCATTCGTCGTTTGCCTCACTAGACACAGTAACGTTACTACTAGATAGTAGGTGATTATTCGAGCCATGAAATCTCCCCAAAGAAGTTCAACAGTCCTTTGATGTTGCAAGCAACTTCGGGGAGTGATCTCAGCATGCCAAGATGTTTAGCTCTGTATGCAGCGACCTCCGGACATGTCAACAACACGTGGGCCGTCGTTTCTTCCTCCCCCATACATGCCCTGTACAGGGGACTATCTGTAACACCTATGGTAAATAAATGTTTGTTAAAGGAGCCATGTCCTGTGATAGCACTTGTTACTATCCTGATCTGCGGCTTGTTCAGTCTCATTTTAACCTTGGTTGAATGATTGTTTATTTCAGGCAGAGCCTACCTAGCTTGTCTACAGTCTAGTAGATTTTTCCAAAGCTAAGCGTGTTGGTCAGTGAAGTTTTTATGTACCAGTGAACAAACTTTATCAAAGGGGATTGGTATGATTGGTTCCGGCTCTATAGTGACCAGAGCCGATCCTCTTCAGGCTAGTTCGTCTGCTGCATCATTGCCTCTGGATCCGCTGTATCCCTTTATCCATTGCAGAGTCACATTGTTGTGTTTACATAACTCATTTGATTGTTGATGATGGCATTCATATATTAGTCCCGAGTTCACCACATTGCATCTCAGAGCTTGTAGTACCGCCATACTGTCGGTCAGAATTCTGATGGGGAAGTCTTTTACCTTCCTTATTTACCTATATTGGATATCTTATTATCCTATATTCTATATTGGCGATTTTTGAACCGTAGTTTTGTAAAGTGTGGTGCCTATAACTAATCTTTGTGTGTCTGCCAATTCTATCTTATTATTATATCTATTCTTCAATCTATTGTTAATGGTGAAATAGAAGAAGCACTATTAAATACTTCAAGAAACAAATTCTTTGGATTATAAAATACTTTTAATATTTCTTTGCTCACTTTTCAGCCGCTATTGCTGCCCTCAAGCGTAAGAAGAGGTATGAGAAACAACTGACACAGATTGATGGCACCCTAACGCAGATTGAGGCACAGAGAGAAGCATTGGAAGGAGCCAACACTAATGCACAGGTGCTAAACACAATGAAGGATGCTGCCAATGCCATGAAACTGGCGCACAAAGATATGTATGTAACTCAGATATATTTTGGTAAAAGACTTATTTTATGAGTTCTGAAGTGATTTCTCAATGTTAAAGAATATTAATATCTATGTTATTTTAAATTCTTATTGAATAAAAAAACAAATATTTAAACATCTTTCCTATTTACTATTTTAACTGATGAAAATACTATACAATATATTAAAATATGTCAAAACTAAAAGTTGTTTCAGACCTTTCTGATTTACACTTTTGTCATTATTATCAAACTTCACCCAAACTGCTACATAGCATAATATTAATCTACTTGAATCCATGGGTCCCTATCTTATTTTATGATGTTTTCATTTCATCTTATGGCCCTCTCTACATTTCTCATATCCTAATCAAAATATTTTGGACTTTTACAGAGATGTCGACAAAGTACACGATATTATGGACGATATCGCAGAACAACACGACATTTCGCGGGAAATCACAGACGCAATAAGCAACAACGTCGCGTTCCCCAACGACATCGACGAGGATGAACTTGAGAAAGAACTTGAAGAATTGGAACAGGTGACGCTTTCTTTCTTTATATTGGTTGTGTTGCATTACCATATTAAAATATTTTAAGATAGTCAATAATGATTATGATGTTATGTTTGCGTTCAAAAGCACCTATGAGCAAAATTACTTAGCCTTTGCAACAAAATTGAAGAGTCGCTTGACTGTCAATACTTTATTGCTAATATTTGAGAGAAAACAAGGATTGCAAGCTCTGATTTCTCCTTTCCTCTTCCGCATTTGATAGAAGATTTCATTTAGTGTGGAGGTTCTATGACCACACTTTATTTTGCGCATAGCAAATATTTGAAATCCTTATTTTTTACTATAAATTACAATTTTTTACTATAAACATTGATCATTAATAAAAAAAAAAAAAACTAGATTCACAATGCCATGCAAAAGTTCTCTAAAAGCTGTCGCCAATTGTTTTGACGTAATTTTAGTTGAAATCAATATGCATTAATGTAAATTCAACCTTAAATACATTGCCTAAAGTTGTATTCACAAACCTACGTACAAATTAAAAGCTCACCCAAATGTTGGAGTGGGTACTCATTTGGTAAGGACATTTTTTATCACTGATTGTGTATCTAGTTTTTTTTTTTATTAGTGATCGATGACTATGAAGCTATATTAAGAATTATTCTTTGTCACGGAGATCTTTTACATACTTTGGTTGCAGGTGGATAAACATTTGTTTGGTGGACTCATTTTTGATGACAGAGAATGAGTTTATGCGAAATTATTTTATTGAAGTTCCAAAAAAGTTAATTAAGCAACAGCCTGCATACATCACCGCCGATGGGCAGTTACCACTTCTGAGAGGGTTTGAGGCTACATATTAATTATTAATACCTATATTTACAGGAGGATCTGGACAAAGAGATGCTTGGAATCAATGTACCCAAGGACAACCCGCTGGAGTTACCATCCTTGGATGAGGTGCACGACAAACCAAAGCCCAGCAAGTCTAAAACAGGCAAGTTGACTTTATAATCTACTTCAAAAGCTTGATAGTATGCGAGCACCCAAGTTCGATCTCGGCACAAATGAAATTCTGCGACTTGAAAGTATTAACGCAGCAATGATTTCAAAATGCTAACGAGGATATTGATCAACTATCTCATCTCATGAATGTTGGGTTGATTTATGAAAAATATCCTATGAATTATTTTAGTAGGGAACATGTTAACCTCTGATAGATTTTTTACTGAGGCAAGGATGACAAACAAGCACATAGTCCACCTGGTGGTAAGTGGATATTGTGCTGCATATCCATCCTCAATTAAGAATTAAAATACAAATTTATTTTCACATCTGGCAAATAGTATGGAATTCCCCATTAACAGCAAAAAGGGTCTCTGATTCTCTACACTCACCGTGCAACACAATGGTATCATGCTGCCATTCTGTGATAGCGTAGTACTTTCCCAGTTGACCTGACCCATTGTACTGTAGTCATTATCACGATTGCAGCTTGGCTCTACCACATACACACATGCCATGTACATGGAGGACAATAACCAATTAGTGTGTCGTAAATATAATTAAGATACCATAATGTTCTTCAAACCGGATTTTTAATACTAATAATAATAATAATATTCCACAACTATCACACAACGCCATCTAGTCCCAAACTAAGCAGAGCTTGTGTTATGGGTACTAGACAACTGATAAACATACTTATATATTTCTAAATACATAAATATTATAGATAAATTACACCCAGACACAGAACAAATGATCGTGCTCATCACACAAACATTTGTCCTGGGTGGGAATCGAACCCACGACCTCCGGCATAGCAGTCAGGATCACTAACCACTAGACCAACAGGCCTGTCAAAATTTTTGATCACGTTGCTGTCTTAACGGAAACTATCCATCTGCGTAGGATCAGATTATATTGCACAAGTAATCAAATTGTGTCGATTCTCTCACTCATAGTACGATGGGATGGTAATTGGACTCAGCCTGAGAGAGTTCATGCTCAGGACCAATGGCTTTACATGCTTTCTAGGCATTGGGGTAAAACACCACTAAATTCCTGAATACAGAGTACTGAGAATTTCTTGACAGAAAACCCAATAACTTATTTTGACCCAGCCTGGGGTTCGAACCGAGGACCAAAGACTACTACTCGCACTTACCACTAGACTAACGAGTCAGTCAAACAATATTAACTCAAACCAATTTCAAACCATACCATTAGTTAATTGGATTGAGGTACAAAACAATCATAAAAGCTTTTAAAAAATTTACTTTGCAAACATCCGTGCTATAAAATAAAATGATGTGTCTTACCTAGTATGAAGAGCACCTCCCGCCCTCCCTCACTTGCGTGCACTATCCCCGTCACCACTAATCCCAGCACCGCTACTCCAAACACCACTACACTAGGCAAGACACACCACTGACGACAATACGACACGTGTTTCGCCTCTACACGAGGCATCCTCAGGTGATGTAGACTACGGTGGTTGACCGTTAAGTGAGCGGTGAGCCAAAACAACTGCCTTTTATACAGATTTTCTTTTTGTCTCATGACATCATTTTATTTTATAGCGCGGATGTTTGCAAAGTAAATTTTTTAAAAGCTTTTATATAATAGATTTCCGCAAAGTAACGCCTGATTCTATTAATTATACAAAACAATGAGCCATATGAGATTGTTTATCTTGGAACAATTAATTTAAAAGTTATCTCAAATTTCAGAGGATGATGACGTACTGAAGCAGCTGGAATCCTGGGCTACATAGATGTAATTATACACACATATATAATGTGAATAATCAAAATGCGGTTTACGTCTATATATTAGTTGTACTTTTGTGATATTTTCAATTATTACGCAAGAAAAAATAGTCCACGCTATAGTTTAATTACTGGTATATATATTTATAATATTGTTTTTTTTTTAATAAGCCTCCCAGAACTAAAACAGTCAAGTTTTGTGTGATTTTTCAACTTTTTTAAATACTATCCTCATAATATTTCAATAATAAATAAGGTTATTTTTCACTATGAAACTATTTTCTATAGTGAAAAGTCTGATGTTATTCTGATGTGGACATAATACGCTTTAAAATTATGAAATAATAACAATGTATGTCAACAATTTTTTTTGTCTGGCTTGCTTTTCAATATATTAATTCTTTTTTAAAACCATCAATTTATTTTAATTTTTTTTGTACAACCTGATCAATTTTGTGTGATTTTTCTATAGCATTGCGCTATGCGTGCGCATTATACTTTAAGTCGGAAATCCAAAGATCAGGTGTGGAGGTCACAAGATTATAAAAAAAAAACAAATATACAGCCAAAATAAATTCTGATATGTGTGATTATTATATAGCGCCGAATTTTAAATTAAAATGTAAAACAAGCGAAAACAAATATTCGATATTACTGACATACAGATATACTAACTAACCTATAAAAAAGTTACGTCCTTTTTTATTATAATCTAATTTTTTTTTTATATTTATCTCAATTATATAGTAAACATTAGGGTTGCCAGCGTATTAAATGAGAAATATGGAACGTTTTATTATTGAAACAGAAAAAAAGGGAAGGAATGGTTCTTTTCAACCGACTTCAAAAAGGAGGAGGTCCCTTTTTCGCCGGAATCTCTTTTCTTTAATGTATGTTCACCGATTACTCGAACCTATTTGGAAAATTGTTTTTTGTTTCAAAGAGGGTATATTTCCCAGGTGGCCCCGTATAAATTTGATCACGATCTAATCAGTAGTCTTTGAGTTATCCTTAATAATTTTTATTGAATTTTAATTTTACCACTGTATAGTTGTATTTTTCTTATATCTTGAATTATACCTTTAAATTGAAAATTATAATAAAAATGGGTTTGTTGAAAGGTTATAATTCCACATGAAACTTTTTCTTAAGTTGAAACCCACTTCAAAAACTTAAAATACTTTTCACATAATGGCATCAAATTCAGGGAATTAAATTATGTGTAAATTATTTTTATTTTTAGTTTTTGAAGTAGGCTTACATTTTTTAAGTTTAATTATTGAACCTTTTTAAGTGGACTGAGCAGTCGTCTATATATTTACAAAAATAAAACATATTGCTCTCCCTTAGGGATGTAATTTGTTGTTCAAATTTCAATGCGACCACTCTTGAGGTATAGCCTATTTGATAAGTAAGAATTATTAAAATCGGTTTCGCAATTGAAGAAAATATCGCGTAATATACATAATATTCTCCTTTTTTGAAGTGCACTCAGACCAACAAAGAAAGAAAGACTGAATGCCGCGGACATATCAAGTGACAAAATGATACAAAAACCAGTACAAAACCATGCTTAACTTATTATAAAACACGCACTCACGTATACATATGCATCTAAATCATTTGCAACCAACAACATGTATAGGTACATATGTGTGCATCCAGCAGTGAATGTTTACGGGTTGTCAAATAAAGAAGAAATTTTGCGTGACAAGAAGTTGAGCATGATTTTTGCGTCACTCGAAATATACGAAGCGCATCTTATTTGTTAGTCTGACGCTAAAAGGAGTATTTTTTTTTAAAGAATTTTGGAAGACTAAGTGGCGACCCTACGGTAATGAAAAAAAAAATGATATCATTCGCGTTTGTTTAAAAAACTTAACATGCACATTCTGAAGATGTAATCATATTTATTACTCACATTTTTTTATAAATGTAAATATGTATTATTTAACTGAGTTGTAATTGTATTTCTAAAATCAATAAAAAAAAACGACTAAACATATGTACGAATCCATGGATTTTGTAGATCGCTTATACGATGAATAAAGCGTGTCGTCAAAGTAATTTTGCCTTAATCACTATCATATTTAGATAAAATGTTGATAGTTATTGCGAAGGTTAGTATCGTTTTGTGAAATGTTTCGTCTGACAAATTAAGAGAATATTCGGGCGGCGATATAAGATGAGCCTGTATCAAATTTAAGTAGAGCCTTTATCCATAAATGCCATTTGAGGTCTATCAGACGATTCCTTCAGTTTTAGGCGACATTTGCAATATCAAAAAAATCTGGTTAAAGTGTTTCCGACGCAGGTTTCGATGAAACACTATAATAATTAATTAGCTTGTTAAAATGTGGAGAGAAATTTGAAATTGGAACATTCGATTTTCACTTTCTTTCTTTGGTAATGGACTCGTACTGATGTACTTTTGCCAGTGTCGCGTATATTAATTAAATATTCTTTATAAAAAATCGTTTAAACATTTCTTCACAGTGTTGATGCGTCAAATTGTAAAGAAATTTGGGAAATTTTGACGGGAGCTTGAGCAAGCATGTAGTCGATGATGACAGTATCTCAAAGCACCTAAGCAAACACAATAACTTAAGTTTCACACCACAGTACATACGCTTACAAAATCGCATCATCTTTACGTATCAAAATCCACTACAAACTATTATTTAAATAAGTTTAAAAGAGCAGCAATCTTCCAGCGGTAAAGTTCCCGCCAAAAACCCTACAAATGTATTCCTTTGTTTTCTTTTTGAATCGTGACACTACTTCTGTCATGTTCCTGTTTTTCTTTTTTTCATAAATTAGTAGTCTTTCAAAAACTACTGAAATATCTCAATTATACCGTGTACAATTATACCAGTAAACAAAATTAACAATAATAAGACAAAAGAAAAACATACAAACAAAGCAACAGTTCTCCTTGTACTGTTGAAAAAAAAATATTCGGGCCAATTTTGGATTAGGAAATATAGGAGAATACGTGATAATGATTTCGTCATAGTCATAGACTGATTACACAGTCCGAGCTGCAGTTGTCCGTTTAGATTGCCTAGCTTATTCGTTTGTGCACAGCGCGACAGCAACTCAAATATTTTGCAGCCCGGATATTTTCTTAAAGAATCGTATAATTCGTGTTAATGTTGTATACACTGTTCCAATCAGACTTTCCACGAACGGAAACAATGTACTACTCGAAAACTGTATTTATGTAAAATATTTAAATGTTTAGTTTTTTTTTAAATTAAAAGTTGTATAACATTATTCCCACAAATGTGAGCGTTGCTTTTGTTCTTGGAAAAGCGACTGGAACTGATTAGATCGATTGAGCGAATTTTACACATCGCTGAATTTAATTCGGTGAGTAACATGGTAGGTATTTGTTTGTATATATACAATTTTTTTATATGTTACAATAAATTTTTCAAATATTCTCTTCAATTTTCACATATTCTTTATTTGGGAACACTGCGGGAGTTAATCTACTATTTTTTTAATACCAAAGGCTGAAAAAAGACAAAATTAAGATGTTTGTTGTTTTTTTTTTTGGTGTATATTATTAGTTATTTGTAATATATATTTAAAAATGGGGTCAATTGATTGACCCTGATAAACTGGAATTATGGTTCCAGAATTTTCAAACTTTAAATTTTATTACTGGTAACATATTTTTTGATAATTGATAAAACTCGCAGTGTTGCCACTATAAAGAAATGTCCTAAAGCTATAGTTAGTGCCTGCGTTAACAGCGTTAGAGGAAAGTTAACAATCATTTTAGCTGTATTAACTTGTGCATATGGTCTAATATATTTTATTTTAAGAAACATGCGTGTTTTATTTTTGAACTCCTCGTTAAACATCAGTGATGTTTGTTATCAAAATGAATTACTTCGCATTCGCAATATCTTGTAGGTATATTTTACTTGTACTCTTGTAGGTATAGTCTGGGTGTCGTAATAACCACATAACGATTAGGAGAATGGTCAAAATTGGGAAACATGAAGTAATCTACTTCTGTATATTAATTACTTTATCTGTCTAGTGACGAATGGCGAACCTGCAGAAAATGCCGAACTCAAATTCCATAATGACGTCCAACATTCATTATTTTAATTGGGCCTTTTTTTACTTATAAGCCAGTGCTTGAACACAATACCACCTGGTGTTAAGTGGTGATATAACCCTAGATAGTAGATCGCACTGTCTTAGCGTAATAAAAGTCTGTTCACTTTTGCCTTGAAGACGCCCAGATTGTAATCGGACGGAAAGATAGCCGTCGGCAAATTATTACACTATGCTTTACGATTTACAAAAGACGAAGTAACCGCACCAGAACCGTTTGGTTCTAATGCGTGGAATATCGACAATAAAGGGATGAAGACCCGCCGACCGCCCGGTTGTCCGATGGTGGAAAGGAGAGGGAGGAATTAAAGCATGTAATACCAATGATCTTTACCAAGTGTCTCCACTGAGTCCAACGCTGCTTGGTGGCATTTTGTATCACCAGCCCATAAGTGATATCAGTACTCGATGCACAACCGGACTTGCGCTTTATATAAGGTAAGAAACTGCCCCGACGGAAAGTACCGCCCGCACCCTTGTAAAGACTCCTAGTTTCCTTTGGCTTTGCCCTTGGGCTCAATGAACCATCCATAGTTGAGGTTTGGAGAAAATTCAACCCCAAACAACTGAAGGCCGTCAGTGTACTCCAAAGATATATTTCTAAAAGTAGGACCCAGGGTGAGCGGGCTTCTTTTAGCGGTGAAAGGATAAGCTTGTGTTTTGAGGCGTTGAATCTCACCGAGATTGGCATCGTACCATTCGGAGACTGCCTGCAGTGAGAGAGATTCGCACGCTCAACCATAGCTTCTCTTTCGGACATGACCCCGACTGACCCGAACATTTGGCTGGTACCTCTACAGAACTATGCTCTCCTCTGCATACCCATAAATGACCGGGAAAGCCAATCCTAACGATAGGCAAAGTCCCCTAG